CTACGTTTGCACCTCCCGTCCAGACTAAAACGGGAAAAACGAAGACCTAAAATGGAGAAGTTTAGAAACGCTGCAGCTGCGTTTTGCGTTTTGAAAATCCGGAGGGCGTTTTAGTGTAGACGAGACAAAACGGTGGAGTTTACAAACGATGACGCAGAGGCTGACGCTCGGCTCTATGATTGGGTGTCATCAGTCATGACGTATCTTTCCCTGATTCGCCAACCACTGTTTAAGGCCATTGCACACTGAGCACGAAATATTCGTATGCGTATTTTCGTGTTCGTCAGCTTAAAAATTCGTCACGCATAGAAACCTTGCACACCGAGTCCGTTGCGTATTTCTTAAACCTTTGCGGGAAAAAACGCAAAATACCAAATGGATTCGTCAAGCAGTGAGGATGATTTTTGCCCTCTCTTATTGAAAAGGGAAGAAAGAGAAAATATTACGTCCATCCAATCCTGAAATTGCGCCGAGAGGAAGGAGAGTTCATTATCAAGGAGTTGCGAATTTATCCTGAGCGATTCAAAATTTACCTCAGAATGTCAGTGGGACAGTTCGATGCTTTGCTAGCGATTCTGGAGCCACATATTAAAAACAAGACCACCAATTTCCGTGAACCAATCGATTCTGAACGGAGACTGGCAGTGTGTCTGAAATGGACCAGGTATGGACACACACACACACGGACAAACACACACCCGCGCGCGGCCCGTTGGAAGCGCTGGTTAGACAGAACAGCTAGGCTGTTATTGTGTATTGTGCCCAAATAATACATTAGTTATCGAATAGGCTGCTCAATCACACCTTATTCGATCTTAAATTTCAATCTGATTGAAAGGGGAGGTTTATTAATTTCATAATCCAATATAGAGAAAAGAACATAAACACTTGATCGAATTGAAAACCGAAACTGAAAGCACGGCGCATATGTGCAATGATGTGAGGACGAGCTCCCCCGGCCCTGAAGTGTCAAAAGACCTTTCAAAATGCTGGCTCTGGATGCGAAAAACGCAGAAAATCGAACCCGATCCGATTAATTTTATGACGGACGAAAGTTTCGGAGGCGGTGTGCAAGCGTGACTGACATAACGTGAGGTCGAATTTTTTTTTTAACGTGCGAAAATTTCGGATGCGAATTTCGGACTCGGTGTGCAATGGCCTTTACACCGGCGTTCATGCCCAGTGTTGGCGAATGGTCACGTGATCCACGTTTTCAGTCGTTTTAGTGTGGACGGAGATAAATTCGAATACACAGGTAAAACGCTAGTGTGGACGGAGATCGTTTTTGTTTTAATTCTCAGTTTTTAAACGAAAACGCAGTAGTGTGGACGGGGCCTTAGAGAACAATACAATGAAAATTTCTGGAATCTACAGTATGCGCTCAATATTAGCTGTGTATTATCCTACCCTATCTCACGACCAATTCGTACGAATTCGTACGAGTGATTAAAAAGTGGCTAATTCGTACGAATTCGTACGATCTCACTCGTACGAATTCATACGATTTGTCTAAACCCACGTGACGGTTATGTTTAGGGGCGGGGTCAGGGGTAGGTCATTCGTACGAATTCATACGAATTGGCCAATTCGTATAATATGTACGATTTAGCAAAAATCGTACTAATTTGTACGACTGAGGTCGTATGAATTGTTACGAATTAGCCACCTCGTAAAATTCGTACGAATTCCCGTGAGATCGGGTTGGTATTATCAGGTACATTAGTGCTTATATCCATGATATGCACATATCTAAGGCAGTGTCCTACCACCAAGTGAGTGACATGCAACGCTCTACCAAGGCTTGAAATTGCGACCATTTTTTTAGAATATGCTCCTGAAATTTAGTCTGTGCGATGTCAAAATATATTTGGGAGCATTTGAGCGAGTGCAAATGGTGATGTAATGGTGTGGGGGATGTTTACTTGGCACACTTTAGCCCCCTTAGTGCCAATTGGGCATTGTTTAAATGCCACGGCCTACCTGAGCATTGTTTCTGACCATGTCCATCCCTTTATGGCCACCATGTACCTCTGATGGCTACTTCAAACAGGATAATGCATCATGTCACAAAGCTCGAATCGGTTTCTTGAACATGACAATGAGTTGACTGTACTAAAATGGCCCCCACAGTCACCAGATCTCAACCCAATAGAGCATCTTTGGGATGTGGTGGAACGGGAGCTTCGTGCCCTGGATGTGCATCCCACAAATCTCCATCAACTGCAAGATGCTATCCTATCAATATGGGTCAACATTTCTAAAGAATGCTTTCAGCACCTTGTTGAATCAATGCCACGAAGAATTAAGGCAGTTCTGAAGGCGAAAGGGGGTCAAACACAATATTAGTTTGGTGTTCCTAATAATCTTTTAGGTGAGTGTAATTAAAACTAATTGAAATGAAAAACAACTGCTCATGCTACTGTACATGTGAGTAGCATCTTTGTTTGGATCCCAATTAAAATGCAGTGGTGCCTCTGATTTCACATGGCTATATATTTTGTTTAAGACGTGCCACTAGTTTGGCATGTTATAGAGCAAATAACAAATACACAGTGGTGGAGGAAGTACTGAATCTCAGTACTTAAGTAAAAGTACAAATACCCAGATAAATATTTACTTTAGTAAAAGTAGAAGTAACACAATGACAACCATACTTAAGTAAAAAGTAAAAAGTACTTTATTTTAAATGTACTTTAAGTATTAAAAGTAAAAGTACTTGCATAACAATTTATTATCTTAATGTCTATTTTCTAATGATTAATAAAACATTTAATTCTAACTCATTCAACCTAATAGCCTACTCCTATAATGATGTTCAATAATGATTTTCATTTCTGAAACAAGCTTGCAATTAGGCAATATCATGCTTATCCTTACTATATGTTAATAACTATGTTTGGCAGTAAACGCGATTCATTTATGGTGTAATTCTGAACCTCTTGGCTTGCCATAATCCTAACCAAACCAAACATATATTACACACGGTGCGTTTCCTATGCACGTAAAAACAAATTTTCGCGTATGAGTTGCATGATAAACACACTGCGTGCGAGACGCATTTAGTGTGACCGGTTGATATACTGTATCTATGGCAACCAAACGTCACTGGTGGGACAAACATGCAACGAACGGACGGTCAGATGACGTTTTGGCTGGGGAAAAACTGATTAGAAAATGTAACGAAAATGTAACAGAAGTTGTAGAAATGTAGTGGAGTAGAAAGTATAATAATTGCTGCAAAATGTAACGAAGTAAAAGTAAAAAGTATGCACTATTTATTGTACTTAAGTAAAGTAAAGATACGTGAAAAATGTACTTAAGTAAAGTAAAGAAGTATTTGTACTTCGTTACATTCCACCACTGCAAATACATTTACTTAAAAAAGGGAACCAGTAGCAGAATCGGCTCATTTGCTTGTAAAAAAAAAAAACCACAAAACAAACTATCAAATCGATCCTAAAATACTTTAATTTATATCTAGGGTTGGGTATCGTTTGAATTTGAACGATTCTGATTCCGATTCCGATTCCTTGTTTCGATTCCGGTTCCTAACGATTCTCGATTCCGATTCTTTTAAGAGGCAGGGTCAAAAAAGTTTAGCTAACCTTGCTAACCAACGGTCTTTCTGAAGGAAATAATCCTTTCTGAAGGAAATACTCCTGTCACAAATACTCCTTTTGTCACAAATTTTGCATTTTGCCGAGATTTCGTTATTTTTAGAAAAGTGAAGCCACACTTTGGACCGCTGACGTAAGCTACTAATGTTCGACTCGCGCGGTTATGCCAACACTTCCGGTAGACGCTTCTTCGTTGCTGTTGTTCAGCGGTTTCTTCTTCCGCTCGGCGGACTGTGAATATCGAAACTAGGAATCGAAATTTTAACTTTTGAACGATTCTGGGAAAAACGAAAAGTTAGTCCCGGTTCCAATCGATAATCGATACTCGATTCTCGATACCCAACCCTATTTATATCCCACATAGACCGACTTGACCCTGTTCTTCCAACACTTTCACAAAGAGTTTAATGACAATGATGCAACAGTTAGATCTTAAAGTATCATCCAAGTGACTGACGACCCAACCACACCGCACAGCACTTTTTCAGGAGACCATTCGGAAAATGTTTCACTTCCCACTCATCAAGTGACACCAAAAAGAAAGGAAACGAAAGAGGAAAATGTTTTAGGGGCTGTGTACACTCATAGATTCACACATTCTAATGTGCTCTGGATAGATGACAATACCGTTACTAATATTAGAACATTACTAATACACAAATGTTAATAACACAAGAACACAGATTTACTTGTAAGATGCAGTATCTCCTTCATCATGGCACACAATGCATCTTTGTGAAGCAAATGTATTGAGTAATTTGTACAATCAAAACCAGCAGTCTCAAATACTATGTCTTATGTGGAGAAATGAGCATTCAAGCAGTTATATTATATAGGTTATATGTTTGAACGTGTATTACCTCTTACATGCCCAACCAATACAAATACTGAAGGAAACACTTTATAATAAATTCCATTAAAAACAACAAATATTATTAATGCTTAGTCTGTAATAATGCTTAATACATTTAATGTGTGGGTGCTTGTCGCATAATAATGACAATTATCTATTAATTTCAAATGTAAATTATTTTAATTGAAACAGTGAAGCCGTCTGGAATGTTTTTGTTTTGGTGAATATGATGCAGTGCATGAAAAACTAATTCTAGGAGTATTTAAACAGCGGAGGGAGACACACCATAAAGTCATCCACGCACACACAGGTTGTGAACAGAGCCTGTACTGATGCTTGGAGGCGCTAATTTACTGAGTGAAAATAGTTTGAAAACCTAAACAAAACCTGTGGCGTGTAAGCTCAGAAGGCCACTTCCTGTCACTTTGACACATATGACATCAGAGAGCCAGAATAAACACGATGCAAGCATTGTTCAAGAGAGTTTTGCAACAGGAACGAAGCGTAAGCAGGAGAGCAGTGGCACTCACCGCAGGCACGAGTAGCTTGTTAACCTCCTCCACCGCACGCTTGAGCTTGACCTCAGCCCGGTTCTGGGCGTCCTCCACCGTGATGAGCACATGGAGGTCCTCATTCAGATGCTCCCAGTTGGGTTTGCCTCGGTTCTGTTCCTCCTGGACAGAGAGGGGGGAAAGTTTTAGATGCACTGACATTGAGCACAATGTTGAAGGAGGCCTACAAGAAAGTGTGGTCACACTTTATTTTGATAGTCCACTTGAGACATTTTACTAACTATAAGTATCTTTTCAACTACATGTCAACTAACTGTCATTATAGTATTAGTAGACTGTCTGCTTAATATCTGCTAACACTTTATTTACAACAGACTAACATCTAACCACAACCCTGACAGTCTACTATAATATACTAATACTTTAATGAGAGTTAGTTGACATGTGGTTGAAAAGTTACTTATAATTAGTAGAACGTCTAAAGTGACTATCGAAATAAAGTGTAACCGAAAGGGTTCAATGTTGTTTCTTACATAATTATTTGGTAACACTTTAGAATACGGTTCCTTCGTTAATAAATAACTACACAAGAACTAATGAGTAACACAATATTAACAATCTAGTAACTATTATTAACTAACAAGAAACTCTGATTAACGAACTAGTAAGTAATAGCGCACAGACGAAAGTGGTAGTTCACTATTAAGTAATCAATACTATTTTTTAATACTTCCCAGAGAACTACTGAAAAAGTTTATTAACAATCTAGTAACTACTATTAACTAAAATAAATTCTTATTAATGAATTAGTAAGTAATAGCTCACAGATGAAAGTGTTACTAGATACTTCTGTGGGAGTTACTAATTATTTGGATTCGTATTATAAAGTGAAGATCATTGGAACTAACTAGTAATTACTCAAGTGTTACTAAAGACATTTTCTAAAAGTATACTAAAGTTCACCAAAACGGTTGCACAAATCATGACTAGATCGTGTAGTAACACTTGAGTAATTACCAGTTAGTTCCAATGATCTTCACTTTATAATACGAATCCAAATAATTAGTAAGTAATAGCTCACAGATGACAGTGTTACTAGATACTTCTGTGGGAATTACTAATTATTTGGATTCGTATTATAAAGTGAAGATTATTGGAACTAACTAGTAATTACTCAAGTGTTACTACATGATCTAGTCATGATTTGTGCAACCGTTTGAGATTTTTGGTGAACTTTAGTATACTTTAGAAAATGTCTTTAGTAACACTTGAGTAATTACTAGTTAGTTCCAATGATCTTCACTTTATAATACGGATCCAAATAATTAGTAACTCCCACAGAAGTATCTAGTAACACTTTCATCTGTGAGCTACTACTTACTAATTCATTAATAAGAATTTATTTTAGTTAATAGTAGTTACTAGATTGTTAATAAACTTTTTCATTAGTTCTCTGGGAAGTATTAAAAAAATAGTAGTCATTGATTACTTAATAGTGAACTACCACTTTCGTCTGTGCGCTATTACTTACTAGTTCGTTAATCAGAGTTTTTCGTTAGTTAATAATAGTTACTAGATTGTTAATATTGTGTTACTCATTAGTTCTTGTGCAGTTATTCATTAACGAAGGAACCGTATTCTAAAGTGTTACCAATTATTTTAAGAATTTTTTGCAATATTTGCCTCTTGCTTGCGCAAAAAATTTTTTTATTTTCTTCCAAATACTTGGTTACTTTTGAGTGCTATTATTGGAGAAAGATGTTTTTTGCTCTTTCCATGACGGTGTACTATAGTTATGGTATCTACCAGCACTGGCTAAAAGGACCATTGGTGTGTTTTTCGTCTTCAAACCAAACTTGGGTCTTCAGCCGAAAAAGTTTAAATCCCGTCTGGCTAGCGCTCTTCCCGTCCATTCAGTAGGCGGAGAATAGGCGTCTTTTGTGGCTGTCTGAACACTTTTGACCACATGAGTGTTTACTTTACGAAAGCGTTTTCGTCTTAAAGTCTTAGTTTTAGACTCAATTTAGATCTGTATTTAGCGTCGTCCACTTGTGATCTGATGGACAAAATTGCATCTTAATATCAGGGCCTGATAATTCCAAAAAGAAAAAGTGCACTTGAAATACTCGGATGATGCACTCGATTAACTGAAAGAAAGGCTTAAAGGAGTAGTTCACTTTAAAAAACCTTGGGCGATAATTTACTCACCCCCATGTCACCCAAGATGTCCGTGTCTTTCCTTCTTCAGTCGAAAAGAAATGAAGGTTTTTGATGAAAACATTCCAGGATTTTCTCCATATAATGGACTTCAATGGGAACCAAACGGTTCAAGGTCCAAATGAGAGTTTCAGTGCAGCTTCAAAGAGCTTTAAACAACACCAGACGATGAATAAGGGTCTTATCAAGCGAAACGATCGGCCTTTTAAAAAAATAAATAAAAAAGTTTAAGTTTAATAAGCACAACTGTGATGAGCGTTCGTGACTCTCCTGTTCGAACTCGTCCATCAAAATGAACAAATCTTCTTTTAAGGGTCCTAGATAAGACCCTTATTCATCGTCTGGTGTCGTTTAAAGCCCTTTGAAGCTGCACTGAAACTCTCATTTGGACCTTGAACCGTTTGGTTCCCATTGAAGTCCATTATATGGAGAAAATCCTGGAATGTTTTCATCAAAAACCTTAATTTCTTTTCAACTGAAGGAAGAAAGACATGGACATCTTGGATGACATGGGGGTGAGTAAATTATCAGCAAAAGTTTTTTTTTTTAAAGTCACTACTCCTTTAATTACAAAATGTATAAAGTTCATACACTAGGTGGTAGAGTACATGAAGAGTTCAGATGCAAAAGCCTCTAAATGCCATTTGAAATTTTCTTCTTTAATGATGATTTTTATCAAACTTGTATATTTAAGTTCAGTAATTTCACTTAAATGGCAATGATAATTACCTATTAATTGTTATTTAAGTGAAATTACTGAACTCAAATATACAAGTTTGATAAAAATCATCATTAAAGAAGAAAATTTCAAATGGCATTTAGAGGCTTTTGCATCTGAACTCTTCACATAGAGTGCGTAGTATAAGTACATAGTGCATTTGGGACATAATTCTTGGCTCCTTGGCCGAGTTCACAGGAAATACAGTATATGTGTGTTTGGAAATGATGAATTTCAAGAAGGAAGTTGGAGCTTGTCTCACCTCCCACTGTTGCTGTGGGGTTTGAACCTTGATACACCAAAGTGCAACAGCAAATCTAATAAAAACACAGACTACAACAGAAAGGGATGTGAAAGTAAAAATAAAACAGAGAAGATGCTACCGTGCTCTACCAAAGCAGAAGTCAGGATGCCAAGTGTTTGACATCCTGTGAGAGGAGTCTCTGTAAAAGTAAAATTCATACAGTCTCCAGACAGGCAGTGACAAAAGCTTCACAGCTAACCGAGACAGGCAATAGCATGAGCAACAAATCAAAACTAGTTCACAGCTTTGAGTCAGAGCTCAGCAGTGCTCACAGTTTTTTAAATATGAATTTAACTAAGCTCAATACACAAATATAAGTAAGCCATTTGCGGAATGATTTAGCTGAAAAACATACACATTGTGGCTCTGAGGCACTTTCAAAACATTGGGGTTTGTTTCAGAATCTAGACCAGCACATAGCAACAGCAGCTTGACCAATGGAGTGAGTTGGGGGCGTGTCTATGTCTAGTCAGGCCAATGGCAGATGAGGAGCAGTAGAAGTGTTTTGGAAACATGTTTGGAAACATTAGTAGGGCCAGTATGCGATTGCCTTGAAAGCGTTGTAACAATACAGCAGCCCCTCACAACACCTAATAGCAACTGCATAAAATAAAAAAAATAAATTGTATGACAGAAACTTTTGGTTAAAAGACATTAAAGATTGTTGAGGGCAAACTGCTTAACTGATCAGCACACATCAAGTTGAAGGGGCTTGTTACACTTTTCCAACATTGCCGCCTTTGTTTGTCTGCTTTGCCATTTCTCTCATTTTCTAGTAGGATTTCACAAGAAAAAAAAAAAAAAAACCAAGATCTGATTTATGCAATAATCAGATATGCAAACAGCTCGTTTTTTCTGCCCGTGACTGCAAATGGGAAGTTGATGGCAATCAGCATCTGCGTCTATGTTCCCGCGCTCTGCCTGCTGATTTTCATTAAGGATCCATTGTTGCCCCTTTCAGTGCGAAGTAATGAAGGGAAGAAAACAGGGGTGCGTATCGCCCAACACACTCGGTATGATTTATCATTCAGGACGTTGGTGTTTGGGTGTTATGAGGTCACTTCCTTTTTCTTTTTTGTTCGGCCTCTTAGTTTCGCTCGGCTGATTTACTTGGCTTTTCTTAGTTGTGACAAGTGCTAAAAATTGATCTTCTGAGGCTGATTGTCGCACACCCACAGCCACGCTGTCAATAACACTGGGCAGAGACAGCCAGAAGGGACTGTGTGTGAATGCATGTATGTGTCAGTCTATCTGAGGGTAAGAGACACTTGTTTTTCCTGCAGTGACAGGCTGGTAGCCCAGGTGACGCTCCTTCAACGTCCGAGGAAATATGTCCAACTGCGAGGCCCTCGACTAGGCCTTTGTTTACACCTCTCTCCCCTCGTGCGCTATAGCGTAATAAATGCCCATAAATCCATTGTCCTAATCCTTCCCGAGGCAATAATGCCTCTCTGAAGGAGCGCCGACCCCTCTGTGAAGGCTCTGGGAACTAATATCACGGCTGGTGTGGGAGAGGACGATGCCACATGCAGAGATGAGTAAGGGGTGGTGTAATGAGGTATATTTCACCACAGTGACCATGTTTACATGCAAATCATTCCCTGATTAAAGGAACACTCTGACTTTTTTGGACTTTAGCTTATTCACCATATCCCCTAGAGTTAGATAAGTCCATACAAACCTTTTTCATCTCTGTGCGTGCTGTAACTCTGTCTGACGCACCCACTGCTAGCCTAGCTTAGCACAAAGACTGGATGTAGATGGCTACAGCTAGCATAATCCCAATAAGTGACAAAATAAGGCAAACAGTGATTTGTATAGTCACAGTGTACAAATAACAAGGTCATTTGAGACACAGCCATCTTTTAACCGTATAAATATTGGGAACTATATTCTCAGAAGGCGAAGCACTGCTACAGTGCA